TTTTTTTTTTTAACAGGAGGGTTTAAAATCCCCTTATTTTTTTATATCCCATTATGTAGAGAAAGAAATCTTTAAAACAGACCATAACATGAGTTTTGAGATCGTTATGTGATTAAATGTTCTTCTATTATGTCATTTGCAATGTTTCATAGGATGCATAGTTCGCTCAAATGCACAAGATTTTTCAATACTTTCTGGCTGCAAACAAAATGTCATAAAATTGTGATAAATCCTGAAACTGGTAGGTTTGGTTAAATACTATAAAGAAAATGAAGTAAGATCCCCCTAATGTAAATAAAACAGACTGATATGTGGCTGTGTTCTGACCTTATTGCCGTTGTTGTACATGGCCACCAGACACAGAAGATGGTACATGTGGCCGCACTTTCCCAGTTTGCCGACCAGCTCGGGCTTGATGCCTCTGTAGCTCAGCACTCCCTCGTATCCGGACGCTGTGGCCAGTCGCTCCATGCAGATGGTGCAGTCCTGACGGATATCAACAGTGAGTAACACTGACAGACATCTGCTGCCTCACTCATTATCTCTGCTAGTAAACAACACAACGCTCGGCTGGTCACATGACGCTCATCAATCACCTCATCAGGAGCTGTCTTGATCTTCTCTGTGTAGCGCCGAACCACGTCCTCTGAGTTTTTACCTGGAAAAACAGACAAAACTAGAATTTAGAATCAGACAGTGAGCTTTAGTCATGTGTTTAATTTTGATATGTGAACTCTTCCTTAAATCCTTCTTAATTTATGCTTTTTTGTTAAAATCATTCATACTTAGCTTATATGCATGCTAAACATCAAATCAAATAAAAAAACATTTCTTTTCACATTTGTATAGAGTATATTTTAAATAAAAATGTACAGAAAAAATCAAATATACAAAAATAAATGTAAATATAAAATGCAAAAAATCAACAACATTCCTATACACCTCTGTACAGAATTAAGCTGTTTACTTCAAAGTAAAAATTTAAAAATACAGTAAAATATACAAAAAATCTAATAAAATCTACAAAATAAAATACAATTCTAAATAAAAAATTCTATACACCTTTATACAGAGTTAAGCTGTTTACTTAATAAAACAAAATAAATATATATAAGAAAATAAAAAATACAATAAATATACAAAAATAAATAATATATATATATAAAATATAAAATAAAACCATTACACCTTTGTACAGATATAAGCTGTTTATTTGAATGTAAAATAAAATAAAATATACAAAAATAAAATAATAGAAATAGAAATAAAATCATTTCTATACAGGTCTAATAGAATTAAGCTGTTTACTCAAATGTAAATAAAATAAAATAAAATATACAAAATAAAATAAGAAATATCAATTAAAATAAACTAAAATATTTTCTATACTGCTCTTATAGAATTAAGCTGTTTACTCAATTGGAAATAAAAGAAAAGGGCGCAAGATATATATAGATATATGTCCCTGCTTTTACAAAAAATCGAATAAATATAAGATTGCAGACAGAAGCTGGTTTGTTTATTAAGCTCCATGCGACTGGAAAACCACAAAAGACAAATCCCAGATTTTAAAGCTCTTAAGTTTGTACACCACCAGTGTTAATGCTTTATTTATAACTTTCTTTTTACACAGCATGACGCTAAAGAGAGGATCTGTCAAATTTAGCAGACAAATGAACTCTTCAAAACACAGCTTCAGTGTTTATTTCTCAAAGCGTCTTTACTCTGGTGACCTTTAGCGCATGAACACACACCTGCTGTCTGGACTTTCAATACACTATTGATGTGTGCAGGAGCGGAGGCACAAAAACAAATCTATCAGTACGACGTTAAGCAGATCTATGGTAACACAGTTCAGGTGCTGTAATGTAAGAGAAACCATGTCACTTTCCGTTGTTGCTCGATTCACACAAAGTCTGCTCTGCTCAGATCAGCAAAAAAAGTCAGACAGAGAATCAATCGCTAGACAAACACACACACACATACACACACACACACAGACACACACACACACACTCACACACAGACAGACAGACACACAGACACACACACAGACAGACAGACACACGCACACACACACACTCACACACAGACAGACAGACACACAGACACACACACAGACAGACAGACACACGCACACACACACACTCACACACAGACAGACAGACACACAGACACACACACAGACAGACAGACACACGCACACACACACACTCACACACAGACAGACAGACACACAGACACACACACAGACAGACAGACACACGCACACACACACACTCACACACAGACAGACAGACAGACAGACAGACACACACAGACAGACAGACACACAGACACACACATACAGAAACAGACACACGCACACACACACACTCACACACAGACAGACAGACAGACAGACAGACACACACAGACAGACAGACACACAGACACA